CAATGATTCTTGAACCCACTCCCTTCTTATTTGCCTTTAAAGATGTTCCTTAAAATATATTTATCACTCGTCTTGTTAGCACCTTCGTATCAAAATTTTGTGACATGATAACCCTGTGAAGCAACTTAGTGTTTTATGCTATTATAAGGTGCATAATAAATACAAGCAGTAGTAGTCAGCATAGATTTTACAGAAGAAGATAGAATAATAAAAAGAAATGTAAAGTGGCATGAAAAAGAACATGACTGCATGGATAGAAATATATAAATGAGTAGCTATTAGAATAAAAACCTCTCTTTCTTTCTTGGAAACTTGGTGTGCGTTATTCTGCACTAGTCCATTTTAGGATGTGTTTATTTATGACCTACATAATAATAGGTTTAGGAAATGGAAGCAACAATGACCATTACACCATAAGAAACGGGAACAGGAGTAGGCCATTAAGCCCCTTGAGCCTACTCCATCATTCAATTGGATCGTGACTAATCCAACATTCCTCATATCCAATTTCCTGCATTTTTCCCATAATATTTGATAATGCCGAATTTGATTATCACAATATATTGGGAAGTATGGTAAATTGCAATTTCTATTGAGGGAATGTAAGGGAATAAAAATAAGGTAGGAAGAGTAACAGATGTTCAAGTTTCTGCAGAACCAATATGTTGTTTAAACATAAATAGGGAATGCAAATAGAACTTCAATTACAAGGTTTTAAATCGAGTAAAGGAACAGATGGGCTTCGGTAAACAGACACACAGATTATACAAAAAGAGATAAAGTAAGCAGATAAGCCCCCAAAAGTTTGTGCATTTGTACATCTAAATATAAAATGATAAAACTTTGTCAGACTTTTACAAGACCTTACTTGGGTTACATTTGAAGTAGTGCAGAGTTCTCAATATCTTATTCAAGAAGAAATACAAATATTTGTCAAAGGTATAATGGACTTCATCCACAATGTTGTCTAGGATGAGGCACTGGAATTACAAATAGGGATTTGCAACAAGGGGCTCTCTCTCATTGGGAAGGATAGCGTTAACTCAAAATCATGAAGGATTACGATAAATAAGGATATTGTTTCCAAAGTCACTGAGACAGTAACATCGTGGCAAAAATTTCAGCTATCACAAAAGTGATTAAAGGAGAGTTTTTTTTAAAAAAACTATTCAAACAGGACACTATAATTGTGCGGTATGTTGAAAACTATGGAGGAAATAAATTGTGAATTGTTTGCAAGGACAGAACTATCAAATACGAGCATGGCGATTCCCAAACATTGGAGCTGCGATCCAATTTAAGGTGCCCGAAATAGGGAATGTGGTTATAAATATTTCTGCTAAATGATGATCTCAACATGCGGGACATAGGCAAATTCTCGTTTGTTGAAATCGTTAAAATTGTTTCTTGCACTGGAACAAGTGAGTTTTGAAACTCAGTTCTCGGCAGCAGCTTCCAGTGTTTCATTTCATCAGAGTTTAAATCTGCCTGGTTTCGACCAAGTCCTGCTTGAGGGGTTTCCTGACACGGCGGGTGGAAGAGAGCTCCAGCCGGGGGCGGAGCGACGACACATTCTTGCTATAAATTCGGCATCGAG